TCCATTGAAAAAAATAACTTTCAAAAAATAAATTAAAAATCCGTCGGGTTTGATCCATTACCTTAAGAATTGCCTTTGTTTACGTTAGGAAATGAAACGGAGCAGATGCGTATATGTCGAGAATCGGGAAAGAAATTTGTTCAAAAGCATTATAGATATATAAATAAACTCTTCAGACATGGAAATTGTTATGGGGTCCACCCCTTTTTCATACAAGTGGACTCAACCAGTGTGTACTTGTACTGCTGCCGGTGAATACCCGGGAGTTAGACAGTGACAGTGATACAGTGAGGAGGTAGAGTAATAGAGAGAGTGAGAGTGTGAGGTAACCGCTTTGTAGGAGTCACAGTTGCGAGCACGTAGACTCAGAAGGAAGTCATACTTCGATACTGAATTTCCCAGACTGTATATATATTATTATTGCTACTAACCGCATTTCTGGATCTATTAACCGTATTACCAATTGTATTATTACGTCAATACATTTATTTGCTATATTTCATTCCTGCGTTTGTCATTCATTTTGAGACCGGATTTCATCTCGGAATCCACAACAGAAATCAACACAGTTTCTTTGGTAATAAAGAAAACATTTCTGATCTGCTACGTGAAGTCTGTCCTCATTTACGGCAGCGGATGTCGGACGGTCTCCTCAAAGACGAAGAAGACTCGAGATAACGGAGGTATTGTTCTACAGAAGGATGCTAAGGATATCATGGACCGAGCGTTTGAGCAACAATGAAGTTTTGGAGGGGATGGGAGTTTATACTTAACATCCAGAAGAGGCAGCTGAAGTTTCTGGGGCACGTAATGAAAAAAAGAGGGCTTGGAAAATTTGATATTCACAGGTCGAATAAAGACAAGTGAAAGCAAACCGTGACCTACCTAGCGGGTTTAAGCAAGTGAATTACAGAACGTGGTCTGGTGGAAGTAGCATAGGGACAAAACTTATTGAGTGCTACAAAGGATAGGGAGAAGTGGAGAGCTATAAACGTCTACGTCCTGAAGGGACACGGTACACAATAAGATAAAGAATATTAACTGGAATTTGCACGTTTTATCATCAGAATTGTCTTATACAATTATTGAACTAATACAATGCACAAAACCTCGACAAGGCAGAGCGTTACTGAATGCAGTTCTTGTAAGGGCATAAAAAAAGGAGCAAGATGTGTATATCAGGAGTTGTAAGCTAGATAACGATTGACACAAAACTAAAAAAAAAAATAAACAAAAAAGAGATTACTATAAAGGCAATCACGAAACCAGAATATATGAATAATTTAATATCTATATCTCTGAGATAAGGTATTATGATTACTTGCATTATTAACATTATTTGGACTGTTATCCTCATCTTCATTGTCATATATATACACAATGTTTCGGCCTCTATATCTCTGAGATGAGGTATTATGATTACTTGCATTATTAAAATTATTTGGATTGCTATACTGATCTTCAGTGCTATATTCACAAAATTTAAGCCTCTATATCTCTGAGATGAGCTATTATGATTACTTGGATTATTAACATTATTTGGACTGTTATTCTGACCTTCATTGCCATATTCACAATATTTAGGCCTCTATATCTCTGAGATGAGGTATTATGATTACTTGCATTATTTGGAATGTTATTCTGACCTTCATTGCCATATTCACAATGTTTAGGCCTCTATATCACTGAGATGAGGTATTATGATTACTTGCATTATTTACATTATTCGGACTTTTATCCTCAAGGTCATATAGCCCAGCGGGTAAATATGTTGGTTAGATTCAGTGACTAGACCCATAGAGTTGTGTGTTCAATACCAGGCCACAGCAGTGGTGAACCAAAAGCTTGGAGAGTTAAATGGGAATAACTGTGACCCTCATGGTACGTGGAATTTCGGTAGGCGAAATAAATGCTTCAGTTCGAAGTTCCAATCATCTGAAGTCTGGAGCGTACAGCAACCGAAACGTTGTTAATATGGCAATGCAGATGAGAATAAGAGTCCGAATAATGCATGTAATGAATAATTTATAATGTGAGAGCCCGAACATCTGGTCGATTTTTACGATCGTTAATTATATTTTTAAGCCTTTCGTTAAGAGAGAACACATTTTTTTTTAATTTTTGGACAAGATTCTCCTCGAAGAATGAGTTCATATTCATTTTCTACTTGCTGCTTTTCTTTTTGAATCTTTCCACTCATACGATAAACAACGACATTTTTATTTTACTAAATTTTCCTATTGTCTATGCCATATATTGGTTTTATATTTTTTAATGAATTTTGAAAGTTTTATAAAAATGAGTAACACAAAGCAGCTTAAAACAAACGACAATGCATATATTTACAAAAGGGTTACATGTGACAAAATAAAAAAAAAATGAAACTAGTTAAAAAATATGTTTCTTTGTTTATGTTTGTATATGCGTGCAACAAACGTGTGTGAGAATACAAAATGTTAGGAGAGAAAAATCATGAAAATGAACGTGCCACAATGGGAGACATTTTTTTTCCCTCGTGTGACTACATGTTATAACCACGAGCTGTTAAAGAGAAAAGAAACTAGGGAGAAAAATGCACGCATTTTTATAGGCTTAACGATCGCCCCCACCCACTGGAGACAGTTTTTCTTTTAGCAAAGTCTAATGGGATAACCCAGAAACCCATAGCAGGATGAGAAGTGGTTGTTTCGTACCTTTCCCAAAGGTATTTGCGCGTAAGGACATGTAACATACCGGACTTATATTTGAATTCGACTCGATGAAAAAATACAAAACCAGAATATATGAATAATTTATAAAGAAAGATTATGAATAATATCCGTAAGATAAGTCATAAGATCTGGTCGGTTTTCACGATCCTTAACTATATTTTTAAGCTTTTCATCAAGATAAGATAAAACACACTTTTTTTTTCTTTTTGGACAAGATTTTCCTCGAAGAATGAGTTCAAATTCGTTTTCTACTTGCTGCTGGTCTTTTCGAATCTCTCCAATGATACGATAAACACCGACATTAGCATTGCCTACTAATTTTTCCTATCGTCTACGCCATATATTGCTTTTATATTTTTTAATGAATTTTGAATCTTTCAAATGTACAAACACTATTTAAACGCTATTTATTAAATGTTTAGAAATAATGGTATTTCCAAAAATCGTTTTTTTTTTAATTTCTCCCAAAGAATATTTTTTGGGATTCTGATCTTTAAATATTTTATATTTCGGGATTTTGATCTTTCGGGATTCCAAATCTCGGGATTTTAATTTTCAGGATTTTGACATTCGGGATTTTAAGATTCTTGATTATGATCGGCACACGTCTGCTTTATATACACGGCAGTGACACACGCCTTTAGTGTATTTCTACAGAAGAAAGCTAAGAATACCACAGACTGAACATGTGAGCAATGAGAAAGTTTTATCATATAAAAGGGACTTATACTTTACATCAGAAAGAAACACTTGGCATTTCTGGGGAACATAATAATTAAAGAGCACTTGGAAAACCAATGTGGACGCTTTCTTTGAGGAGAGTCTTGTCAAAAAAATATGTTTTATCGTTATGAAAGGTTTAAAAATATAGTTAAGGATCGTGAAAACTGACCAGATCATATGAATAATCTTAGAACTCTTGCTCATAATCTTTATTTATAAATGATTCATATATTCAGGTTTTATGTTTTTTTAATGAATTTTGAACGTTTCAAATGTATAAACACTATTTAAACGCTATTTTGTAAATGTTTAGAAATAAAGGTATTTCCAAAAATGTTTTTTTCAATTTCTCCTAAATAATTTTTTCCGGGATTCTAATATTTCAGGATTTTAAATTTCGCGATTCTGATATTTGGGAATTTTATAAATTCAGGATTTCAAATTTCAGGATTATGATCGGCTCCACAACTAACTATAATGATACAAAAGAAAAAAAAAACGGTTTACAAAAATTATTAAAATAGATAATTTGGAGAGAGTTTTGACTTAAAATTAACAAGGCTTCTTTTTTTCTTTTTTTTCTTTTTTCTTTTTTTTACTCCGGTGTGGGAAAAAGTTAAATAGGGTGGGACGCTGTTTGCCATTTTTTATTTTTTTTAATATAATTATTCATAATGAATATGCTTATTTTATTTATTCTTTTATTATTAACAAATATTTAAGTAGGGAGTTTGTTTCACTGTGTCGAGCTAGACAATTTTTCTCGCCAAAATCTATCTTACATATTTATAAGTCTGCCATTCGTCCACACTTAGAATATTGCTAACACATCTAGTCTAGTGCCCCTCCGATATATTTAGAAATTCTTGATAAAATTCAAAGAAGATTCTGCAACGTTATTGGTACCGACCTGGTATCTCGCCTTCAGTCACATCCCCACAGCCGTAACCTAGATTTTCTGTGCCTTTTCTCAAAATACTTTCATGGAAATTGTTCGGATGAAATTTCCCATATGGTACTTAGACTTTATGAACTAAAGCGCAGTACTAGACTGGCGTCGAGAGGTCACCAATTTAAAGCTGAGTTGGTTAGATGCAACCGTAAGTTCTATGCTAAAATATTCTTCTCTCGTACTTCTAACTGTCGGAACACTCTTCCGGCCCCATGCTTTGATCTTGAAAAATTTAAATGCAATGTCAATCGTTATCTTCTCTCTTCTTGTTCTTTTATTGCCTTCTCTCCTTAGTATTAAATTTTATTATATTTTCTAACACTCGGAACTCCCTGCGCCTTAGTGGCTTTATTGCCTTGCCTGGGGTGAAATTATTAAATAAAATCTGCGTAGGTTGTCTAGTTATTCAGTTCTAAATACGGATAATGCTTTTGTCTGTAATGTTTTTGTGGGTGAACCAGGTGGGAGTGTGTGTGTGTTACGGTAATGGCGGTGTGTTTGAATATATTTTCGAAGTGAGGATGTGAATTGATTGATTCTGCAAAAGCGGAGACTTCAACAACAGTAACTGGGAAATATATATTAATAAATGTTTTTCATTTTTTACGGTTAAACTAATGAATAAATAATGAATACGTAAGTGGGAAAAAACTAAAGAACGCTTGAAAGAACATATCAGTAAAAAGAATACGAAAAGCAAATATGGCAGAGTGATAAAAAATAGCAAAGAAATTGTAGGAACCGTGTCTGCGATCAAAGAGAAAGAATGGCACGGAAGAAAAAATGAAAATAAAATGTATAATGAAAAAAGGGAAACGGAAAGAGAGAATACAAGAGGGAAGAAAGAGAAAAATAATGAAGGGAAAGATGAAGAAGAAGATGATGATGATGATGATGAAGAAGACAAAAGAAGAAGAAGAAGAAGAAGAAAAAAGAATGGAATAAAATAAAGTGAGAGAGGAACGGAAAGAGAGAATACAAGAGGGAAAGCAAGAGAAAAGTAATGAAGGGAAAAAAGAAGAAGAAGATGATGATGATGATGAAGAAGAAAATGAAGATGTAGCAGATGAAGATGCTGATGATGATGAAGAAGAAGATGATGATGAAGAAGAAGAAGATGAAGAAGAAGATGACGATTATGATGATGATGAAGAAGAAGATGAAGAAGTAGATGATGATGATGATAATGATGATGAAGAAGATGATGATGAAGAAGAAGAAGATGAAGAAGAAGAAGATGATTATGATGATGATGATGATGATGATGAAGAAGAAGATGATGAAGAAGATAAAGATGATAATGATTATGAAGATGATGATGATGATGAAGAAGAAGAAGACCAAGAAGAAGATGATGATGATGATGATGATGATGATGAAAAAGAAGGTTAAAAAGACGAAGAAGAAAATGAAGAAGAAGAAGAAGAAGAAGAATGGAATAAAATAAATAAGAGGGAAACGGAAAGAGAGAATACAAGAGTGAGAGAAAGAGAAAAATAATGAAGGGAAAGAAGAAGAAGAAGATGATGATGATGTTGATGATGAGAAGATGATGAAGAAGAATAAGTTGAAGATGATGATGAAGAAGAGGAAGAAGAAGAAGAAGAAGATGAGGAAGAAGAAGAAGAAAGAGATGATGATGAAGAAGAAGAAGAATGGAATAAAATAAAGTAAGAGGGAATCAATGAAAGAAAGAAAAATGCAAAAAGAAAAAAGAGCAAACGAATGAAAGAAGAGACGAATAAAAATATAAAAAAAATAAAGTAAATCGAAATAAATGAATAAATACATGAAAAAAAGGAAGAAGGAAATATAGCATAAAAAGAAGGAAGTAAAAGGAAAAAAGAAAAAATGAAAATGACATGAAAGAAAAATAAAGGAAGAAAAAGAAAGTGGGTTGCTGACAAAGAAGAGAAATAAGAGGAGGTAGGAAAAGAAGAAAGATGAAGCATCGAAAAAAGAAAGAAAGAAAGAAAGAAAGAAAGAAAGAAGGAAATTGTTGGTGATAGATATTATGGGAGTAAGCAAAAGAAAAAGTTAAAAACGGATGATCGAAAATATCAGAAAAAGGAAGAAAGAAAGAATGAAGAAAAGAAAAAATATAGGAAGAAACAAAGAGATAAGATAAGAATAAAAAAACAGAAACAAGTAGATAAAGGAAGGAAGGAAGGAAGAAAGAAAGAAAGAAAGAAAGAAAGAAAGAAAGAAAGAAAGAAAAAAAAAAGAAATAAAAAAAATAAACAAAGAAATGACAAAGAAAAATAAAACAGGAAGCGGAAAGAAAATGAAAAAAACCTCTGTGAATGGAAGCATTCCAGTCAAAAGAAATGCAGTATAAAATGAAAAAGGAAAGAAAATTATATGAATCAGAGACATGAAAGATTACAAATCATAAATAAGTACAAATTCAATATATATATATATATATATATATATATATATATATATATATATATATATATATATATATATATATACTGAGAAATATGTACCGCTAAAAATAACGTTTATAGCAACATATATATATAAATATATATATATATATATATATATATATATATATATATATAAACATATATATATATATATATATGTATATATCACACACACACACATATATATATGTTTATATATATATATATATATATATATATATCACACACACACACACACATATATATATATGTGTTTATATATATATATATATATATATATATATATATATATATATATATATAAAGAGAGACGAAATACGCAAGAATCGACAAAGGGTAACACGGTGGATGAATCGAGCGTTGTTTACGCATCATCTTGATTTCCGTTATGCTCAAAATGCAATTTGGCGCGGAAATGAAAGATTTCAAATTACTTCAGCCCAAGTAATTCGCCTTGGATAAATCTTGTTTACTGTCGTTTTCTTAGTCTATATACTCTATACGTTCGCCAATATTATCTGCCGGTGCACGAACACGTTCCCGTAATATATGGAGCAGTTCTGTTGTTACGACCGTTATATTCACAACTAAGAGGTAGGAGGGTGACGCAGTTCTTACGCGGGGGCAGGGTTATGGTGCTTTCGTCAGGCAGGGAACAATTTCACAACAGAAGAATACATAATGAATCTTATATTGTTTTTCTATGCGTAGCCTAGATGTGGCACAAGGCCGAAAGTCTGGGTGCACCCTGTGAGGAGCGAAGATATTATTCAATTGTAAAGGATCAAGTGAGACAAGCTTGCTGTTACACATACACCGCATTGAAGTGTCAACAAATGATTTTCTAAGCGTAGATTAAATGTGGCACAAGGCCGAATGATTGGAGCACCCAGTGTGGCTCGAACTCACTACTCAGTCGTAAACGATCTAGCGAGACAAGCTTTCTGTTTATCACACCACGTCCAAGTGCCGACAAATGCTTTTCAAAGCGCAGCTTAAATGTGGCGCAAGGCCGAATAATTGGAGCACACAGTGTGGCTCGAACACACTGCTCAGTCGTAATCGATCTAGCAAGACAAGCTTGCTGTTTATAATACCAAACGCAAGTGCCAACAAATGCTTTTCTAAGCGTAGATTAAATGTGGCATAAGGCCGAATGATCGGAGCACCCAGTGTGGCTCGAACTCACTACTCAGTCGTAATCGATCTAGCGAGACAAGCTTTCTGTTTATCACACCACATGCTTTTCAAAGTGTAGCTTAAATGTGGCACAAGGCCGAATGATTGGAGCACACAGTGTGGCTCGAACTCACTGGTCAGTCGTAATCGATCTAGCGATACAAGCTTTCTGTTTATAACTCCACTCCCAAGTGCAAACAAAGGCTTTTCTAAGCGTAGCTTAAATGTGGCATAAGGCCGAATGAATGGAGCACCCAGTGTGGGTCGAACCCACTATCAGTCGTAATCGACCTAGCGAGACAAGCCTGCTAAAAGTTACACAAAGTCGTAGTGGCCAAATGGTTTTCTATTCGTAGATTAGATGTAGCACATGTTCGAGCACCCGGTGAGGTTCGATCTCACTATTCACTCATAATCGGTAAGCATTGCACCACGTGGAAGTGCCGAAATCACCTCCCATCTGATGTTTCCCTTCAGAACGTCCCCGAATAAGGCTCTCCATATGCTTTTCCTCTTACGTTTTCCATTGGAATTATTATAGTGAATCGATTGCTGTTTTTGCTGCTAGCAAGGCTTGTTTATTTTGTCACGCTAGACACTTTATCTCACCAGAATCTATCTTGCACATTTATAAGTCCATCATTGTTGCTACCACGTCTGATATGGTGCCACTGTTATATATCTTGGGATTCTAGATAAAGTCCATAAGAATCGGCCATGTTATCAGTCCTGACCTGAGTTATCGTCTTCCCAACGGCGTAAGGTGGCTTCCCTTGGCCTCTTCTTTAAACGAACTTTCCTCGTTGTTACCCCGAGACCTCACGAAATCAAGATCCGTACAAGATTTCATTTTACTGGGGAAATGGCGGCGACCGTCTTAAGGAAGACAAAAACAAAAAGAAAATTCATTCTGAAAACGTACAGTTTCGCTTTCTTAGACAGATAATGAGAAAGAAAAAAATTCGAGAATTTGACATTTATTATTGTTAGAAAATGTAAAACCGACACGCTAATAGATACCCAAATGTGTTTTGAGAGCACATTCATGTACTATAAAGCAAAATGAGCAAATAAGGTTGGTCGATGCAACTGCCAAGGAAGTTAAGTTGTTGCATCGTGACAAACCAGACCTGGGAATGAGGCACGGTGGAGTAATGGATAGCGGTTTGGATTGAGGAATCGGAGAACCGAGTTCGAATTCCAGTCGAATCCATTACATTCACTTACGTGAATTACCTTGGGAAAGGTGTGAATCCTCTTTCTTCTCCCTCCAGCTATGGGTAAATAGCAAGACAGACTGGGTTCTATAGCCTTGGATGGCAACTGGTCTAGGCTGGGTTCTATAGCCTTGGATGGCAACTGGTCTAGGAGAAGGAAAACTCTGAATTCAAACCTGCTCTTAGAGGAGGGTGAATGGAGTCTCTCTGAGCCTTGGTTGGCAATCCACGGTGATGGTGTCACGATAAAAACACACTTGATAGCCCTAGCGAAGCATCAAGAATTCAGCTATTTGACAAGATTATGAAATACACCAATCAAAGTATTGGTGAGTTCAATCTCGGCTGAGACCGAAAGATTATGATGATGAGGATAAACTACACCCGGAAGATAAGTATATTGGAGGATTTGAGGAGCGTGGAACCACATCTTAATTGCTTTTGTTACTCGATGTGGTAGCACCTGTTAGGGTACAAGTTATGTGCCAAGGGTTAGCCCCCAAACTGGGGTCAAATCACTATGAAAATATATATATATATAAAAAATAAATAAATAAAGTGTGCTACTAGATTGATAAAGAGATATCACCGTTCCACTGTTAAACTACTTAGATGCAACGGGCATTTCTACGCTAACAGTTTCTTTTCTCGTACTTCTTACTTGTGCACGTCCTGGGTATGACGATAAACTTCATCCGGCAGTAAAGCCTCTGGTCGGGCTGTTTTGAAGATACTTAAACCACTACTTAATCGCTGTTGTTCTAAAATCTACCTTGACCCAGGGTGGTAGCACCTGTTAGGATCACAGCTATGGGTAATCAGTTTACCCCAACCAAATAAAAACAAAGTACTATGAAAATATAAAATACATATTTATGGTAAACCATATAGAAATAGTTATAACAGTGGACTATGTTTATTTTTTCATAAATTCCAAAGGTGAGTAGCATTGGCTGTGTTGTCCATGAATTACATCTATAATAAACGGCTAATGTTACTACAACCATTACCACTAACATTACCACTACCATTACCATTACTGTTACCACTACGATTACCACAACCATTACCACTAGCATTATCAAAACCATTAGCAAAACCATTCCAACTACCATTAGCACTACCATTACCATTACCAGAACCATTACTGCTACCATTAACACAAGCATTGCCACTAGTATTACCATACCATTACCACTAGCACTGGAGCTGCTCAAAACGCTTATTCAGGCGTGGTAGTGTTCAAAATCGTTTTTATGGGGGAGGCGTATTCTCCACTCTGCGGTCTCTTTTACGCAGACAAAGCGTCAGAAACCTCTCGCTATTTTGTCACAGATTCCATGGAAAATGTTCGTATAAACGCCATTTGTAATTTTAAAGCGAAAGCACGCATATGCCATTCAGTTAATTTGCAGTCTAAGCACCAAAAGGCCACGGTATTGAGAATGTACCATTGTGGTGTGAAATTCCGTGGT